TAAAAATGGTCAAAATTACAATTTGTCAAAAAAAAATTTGAAAAAATAAATAAAAATAGACAAAATATTTTCCCAAAATTTTGGCGGGAATAAAAAGGCGATCAAGGGGTTATTCACGACATGGAAAATATAGTGAGTCACTATTTAATGTATATATACACAGTTATACACATTATTATGAACAAATCTAGGGCCGTACATAGATTGAATACGATGAATTACTTACCACTGAATCTCACTCGTTTCACCGTTGATATTTAACGTACACAGAGAAACATTCTTCCATCTGACACCAATACTTGCCAATCACTCTCATGACTAGGTGGTCGTAACTAAGGCGATTCTATGGGCTGGTTCCGTAAAGTTAATACAAATGTCACGCATACCGAGGGTGCAAATAGTCTCTATTGAAGCAACTGTTTCGACTGTATGTCCAGGTTGCTATGTTACATGGCACATTTGCACATCGGTATAAATAATTACGACAACACAACTGCTGTCGCGCGATTAAAACTGAAAACTGATTAGAATAACGGATTTTATCACTTCCGTTCTTTTAAATCGACTCTGCTTGTGTACAGTCAGTAGTGGTTAGCATGATATAATGTGTTATGCGATGTAAGGAGTCCCAACGTAAGGCGTTGTATTATTTATTTGTTTATTTATTAAACTAAGCAATTTCAGCGTTACTGTAGCATATAATTAGTAATGATGCGACTATATTTGTTGTTATTTCTCTCTCATGGGGTATTCGAGAAAATCATGTGTGTAATTTTTTAAGTTCGTTTATCCATGGAGGTTTATTTGACGGCTTCTCAATTTGCATATTTAACAATCAGTTCTAAATGTAAATGTAGATTCTGGGCGTACGTGTCATTTGTAATTTTGATGATATATCATATACTATTTTGCTAGTGGGCATAATTAAATAAATATGTATTTGATTATTTATAGTAGAACACTATACGGTGTGTAAAAGCAATATGATTTTAGATTTTGATAAATGATCATCCAATTTCGTATATTTCTTATATCACTGTAGATGGAGTATAAAATAAAACGCCGTCACTGTACATGATTCTACGAAGTATTTATTTATTTATGTATTTATTTAGACAAAATTGTGTTGATACATTATAAACCTATGTAGTTTATATGGCTATGAAAGTAGATGAACAAAATACGGATAATACTGTTGGCGATTATAGATTGAATGTCTTGATAAATCAGAAAATCGAAAAAGGGTGTTACAATAATCCTCTAGACTCCTAAAGGATTACAGATTTTTCAGAATGTTGTCTTGCCAGACGGCGAAAATGATACAGTATATACTATTATATACACAGTGAGGTGAATTGTTAAGTATAAGATTATATAGTTAATACATTTCCTGTATTTCGTGATTGATCAGAAACACACATATACATATATATATATATATATATATTTAAAGGTCACTGTGTAACTTCTCGGAAAAGCATGTACTTAAATTGAAAAGTAATAATGTTCAGTACTGACGTGATGAAAATTTTCACATTTTTGTGTTCAAGACGCAAGGAAATGACAGTTTAATATTCATTAAAATTATTTTAAATAATAATAATAATACTCAGATAATTCTCATATGCCGCTTTAATAAACATGTTTGCATTAATGGCGTGGCTTAAGCATCGATTTGACTACATTAGTTGATCAGTCATAATCATTTCATTTCATGATTAAAAATGTAATGACTTAAACAAACCTACCTGATTCAATACACATTCCCGCCTTCTACATTACCCACAATCTCTCTTCCGCAAACACTCAGTACACTTTATTATGTATCTGTGTTCTAATACAGGGCCTATTTGCATTTTATGGAGCAGTTTTTAAATACGACTGGTCTTTCTTAACTGTCAGTGCCCACTGTATGCGTCTATGTGTGTTTGCATTTGATGATTTATTTGTGAATAAGTGCCCATATACACGTTATTTAGTAAGAAGTATTGGTTGATCAACAAACAAGAAACTGTCATATAAACAATCTCACTGGCCGCCATTACATTACAGTTCACATCTTCGTCAAGTCGTGACCGTATAAGTCGTATAAGTTGGAAGACTGCCAGTACTTAGGTGAAGTATCAAAATAAACACCCTGATTGACTGATTCCCACATTACACAATGCATCATTATAATAAAATGATACAATAAGAGATTAAATCAAATGCTAATGAATATATCATCAACAAATGCCCGCCAGAAATTGATAGCCAATTGCAAGAAGACCAGATCAATTAGGCAATCAACTTGACATACCCACATACGTCAACCAGCGATTGAGCTATATCAAGGCAGGACTCCATTGACGTTACTAATCAATCAGCCATGTCGCTATTGGTTGACCTCTCCAGTTTTATGTACATGAACGAGACAGTGAGTTCAGTCATTTCACCCTTAGGTAGATTCTAAGGGTGTAATTCAAAATTATTCTCGGTTCATATACGATATAACGTAGGTTAGCTTGATGTTGAAATGATATAGTTCATTTCGACAACCTATTCCATTGTAAAACACCATTGACAAAGGCTTCTTTGTATGTGACATTTGTCTTTAAGTGTCTGAGAGGGGTTTCGAGTAATGATTCTTTTTTTTACCAAGCACATACTTAAGATACTGACTTTAGCGGTATCAATTATTTCCATACACTCTGGACCATTGAAGTATTTGATGCATTTATTTTCTCTGTCTTAAGTATCAGAAAATGTTTATACAGGCGGATTTCTCATTTGTTCTTTCACTCCAATTGCAACCTTCTGTGTTTCTACTACGATATTTGGCGTTCCATTCAATGACATGTTCAGAAATCAGCACTTCCAGTGTAACGCTGTACATCCAGCAATAATGTTCCTTATTTACAGATACTCGTACTGTGTTTAACGAACGTTTCTCTATACGAGTTAATTTAACTAATATATATTTATACTTGCAATTGAGATTCGGATCCGTAGTATTATATATATCAATTATAATAAATATGTTGTGCCACTGCAATAGATGTATCAGTACAGTTTGCATACATTATGTCAGCTTAACCCTGTTTGTCTTTGCATATCAATTATACCAATCGCCTTATAGAAAGCATATGACAAAGCTTGGACAACATGGCGAGAAAAAAACAGCTTTGTTGGCGCACTTCAACTATCGAACTGTTACCATGGCAACAATTCATTATACTAAGGACGACATTTCTATGGGGTCGGCGGTGTATCGACACTATGCACCAATCACGTATAGTAAGTGGACTACAAAAGGGTGTTTGGAAGACGCTGTGACGACATTGTGTGTGGCACGTTATAAAAGCATATTTACAGCTCGTTCAATTATTGTAAGAACACAAACGAGATGATATCATGACAAAATATAACACGTTAACATATCATTCAGCATTTACCCAAAGGAGCGACGTATTTGATAAATCCTACAAAATTCTTATCAGACTACGTACGACGATTTACGATCTGTGGTTAAGACATATAACTCTGAAAAAAGGTAGGTACTTATAATGACTCTCCAGGGGGGATATCATTTGCGCCAACTTTAATTAGTAAAAAATAATTATTTTCGACAATTCTCTGATCACGTGGTTTGTAAATATGAAAATGAAAGTTAATTAATAATGCATATACATTTCGTCAAGATTGTACAATCGTACATCGATGTACTGAATAACCACACACATATATATATTCCAGAACGTCTAGTGTATTCAATGATGGACAGTTAGGATAAATTTGATTGTGAATATATTCAAGTTATTGTATAGCATTCGTATTAAGCAGAGTTATGTAATATTGTAAAATCCCACCCTGTTCCATTTATATTAAATAATATGTGTATATAGCATTGCTTTCAGACGTTCTATTCAATTCATTGTAAACCTATGTTCAATCAATCCACAATATGATGTGCAAACTGAATGTATTATAATTGCATTGGTGCCTTCAACATTTAGGTCTGTATGTATGTTTGTTGCTTATCGATGAGTAATTCTCTTTTTAATATTAAGTTACCTCAACTAAATCATTTAATATGTAGAGATGTGTGACAATGATATATGGATAAATATGCCACTCTCGATTAAAATCAAATTGAAGCATAATGTCGACACTGTGGAGACAGCTGTTTAGCGTGTTATTGCTATTTATCGAATCTTCGATGAAATTTTCGTGTATGAGTTGTCGAATGGTCCACATCAAGCTATACCGTGTTATTTATTTATTTTTCATTTTATTTTATTCACTTATTTACAATTGCTTATACTATTATGTCTAATTTATACTATTTTTCAATGACTCAGGCACATTACAGTAAGCTACTTTTTATAAACTAATCTTTCCTGACTGTGCATATTTATTATTGAAGACGTATTTTGAGTTCAGATTGTGCATGGGGTTACAGTGAAGTACACACACATCGACTGAAACTCGCAATGAATAATATCATGCATCAACACAGTCTCAATAGTGTACTGAACAGAATGGCTTGAGGAATAAATTCCTGATAGCATTTCCAGTACAGTGCGCATTTGTAATGCGCATCTTGACAAGTTTGATAGCCTGCCGATCAACTCGAATTGTACAGACTAGGGGGGAGCTGCTCAAGCGAAGAGTAAACGATACCTGTGAAAGAATTTGAATCTGATCTTTACTACACGTCTGATTAATTAACTTACAAGCAATGACGACTCGTTCCTGAACCACAGCGTCGGGTCTGTTGTTGGCGCCATTACAGCGAGCAGACGACCCACTGTTATCACGTGTTATCTCTTTGTATTACAGACTCATCTTATCGCATTCGGTTACTGATATGAATTAGCCTTAACTGGTCAACAATATACAAATAATCTTATACACACCAACTCACCGAGTTCTCTTTGCTGAATGTGCCAGTACAGAAATTATCGCCCACGCAAAACGAATCAGGTTTTGAACCGTCTTTTGTTCAGATGCAAACGAAGATGGCGACAGAAGAGTACTCAACATATAACTTTGCGGTGTCAATGTCCTACCAAGATGTCAATTCTTCAAAAGAACTACCAAACGATATATTTGCCGTACAGTCGTCTGGTAACGTAACTGTTAATAACTCCATTTGTCCTGTGTGGTTGGAACCACAGCACGTACTCTTCCAAGTCGGGCATGTTAGCCTTGCCATTGCCTTCCTTACACCAAAGGCATTTGCTCAACACGCACTTTTCCTGAGATGTGTCTTCATATTCGCTTTTCTTTTCCTGTTTGTATGGGGAATAACAGTTTCATGCATGCCTGATTACTTTGGATGGAATTTCCTGTATTTTCTAATAAGCATTGGTCAACTTCTGCGCATATTTTACAACGTATGGCCTGTACAAATAGGAGCCGAACTGGAAGTTGTGTATGCCGAATTGTTTGAGCCCTTGCGTGTTACACGAAAGCAGTTCAGAAATTTCACGAAAATTGCTTCAATATATGGACTTAAAGAAGGCGAATTCTACGCCCGTGAAGATGTTACGCCCGGTGATGAACGGGTTTCGCTACTGCTGTGTGGCAGGTTTGTGAATATAGTTCGCATTTTATACTATATATATATTGTATATTTTGTGAACCAGCATGTCAGTATAAAAATTCATTGTGTGTTCCAATGTTGACCCTTCATGAGAAGTGAGCAATTATTGCATAGTGTGTAAATGTATTGCATACGTTAATTGTGCTCACCGTAAAAAAAAAACACTAACCTACATTAATAATGCACTCTAATCTCTCTCTGTCTCTTTATGTGAGTGATGCGACGTTCATTTTTACAGAAAAAAAACTATATGCACAGCATGTGAACACCATTTAAGTGGCAACATGTTTTGTACGTGCACGTACATAAGTTGAGGCATGTTGGAGGACGTTTTCGATATAAATTATAGAGCAAAGCATGATCTCTATCCATTGGCAGATAATACATTGTATATATCACGATCGGTGAGTCAATAGGTGATTTTCCGAACAATTGCGAGATCTCGCGAGATGCATGAAAGACGCGCGTCGAACGTCTGCCGCAAAAATCGAACGATTTGATTTTGAACTAGAATTTCTTTATTTCGCAGCTTACATTGACCGGCCGATCTTCGACAGAGGAATATTGCTTCCGAATACCCTCACTTAATCGAAATTGCCTATCATCAAATGTGGACAGCACATTATTAAGCATGGAAATGTCCCCGAAATACTTTCGCGTTTGTCGAATCCCACGCGATGTTTGACGCGACTACGACGCTATGACCTTTGTTTGTCTTGTTTTTACGTTTGATTTCACGCATAACGCGTGATTCTCGCAGTGTACGGAAAATGGTCTATTCACAACTGTATAAAAGAATTTGCGATATACTAGCTTATACATTATACATGTATTAGTCTTTGAATTGCGGCTGTTGTGAGGCATTACCACGGCCCGACGACAGTTATCAGCACGACTACCGGATTATATGGTACGATTGAATTACAAGCACACATTCCCCCATGGATACTTTCTTACATGCATTGTGTGTAGTCGATACATATGATAGTGAGCCAACATACTTCAAGCGCCTTGGGAATAATTCAATACATGCTGCCTAGCTATAGGTGATTATTCGCTTGCAATGAATGAAATATGGGCACCACTAAGGTCAACAACTGCGTAAGAACGACAATATACTTAAATTTAAAGCACACTGTCTTTACAGTCTTCTCCAACTGTAAAAAACTGTCTGTGTACGAAGAATTATTTATTAATGACCTGATTGATAAGGGGTCTGTTCTAGTAATGCCTTAGTGTAACGCATATTACATTGTATACCGTTTTACCATTACCAAATATTCTAATAATAATATTTCCCAAATCAATGGTAAGATGCATCACATGGGAGTTAATATTACCTACATGCATTCTTCATCAACACACATACACACAGGTTTGTATTATTGATTGAGGATATAACATAGTGTTATCATTTAGTTCAAAATCTAACTGAACACAGTAAATATCATTACTGTCAACACACATAATTAAATCTAACATTAGTAATGATGTCATTTAATATACCACGTGTGAAACTAGTAAACCTATTTGGAAAATCACATCAGTTGCGATTCAGCAGACAAATCAAATCTGTGGTGATACGAGGCTACCGCAATGTGAGCGAGTGGAATTGACAACTAATTATATAATCTAATATAATATAACATGCCCTGTATATTCATTTCAGAGCGTATATTATAGAGAAATGTTTTCGACACATGCGTATAAAAGTGTCATCTGGAAAACTGTTATACAGGGGCAGGTCAAAGCGTCATATTTTTCTAAAGGTCAAGTTGTGGTGATCAAGATAATTGATTGGCGGTCACTTCAATAAAATGAAAACGAAAAGTACATTACGTGCCTCTTGTGTAGCGGGTGGTTTGCGATTGGATTCTATTGTGTACAATGACGATGGTACTCTTTTACGGTACTTTATAGTCTAATGTACACTATAAATATGTTCGTGTATAGAGTTTTACCAACTGTACTAAAAAGCGATGTGATTGTCGTCTTCATTTTCGCGTTATTATTTTAATACGAAGTCGTTGCACCTGTTACCCCCACCCGAGTACATGCCAGGAGCTGTGCTTGTGATCGTGATGAATGACAATAATGAAACATATAAACACATAATGACTAAATGAATCCTTAGTGCAGTTCTTATGAGTGAATCTCATTTCCCATAAATAGCTGATATACAATATAGTTGCGGTATAATTGTATGGGATAAACATCTCCACAAGGTTGCTCAGTAATGTTTACATAATCCCTTTTGCAATTTGTATTTTCTAAGCCGTTGCTCTAAGTTATTTTTCGTTGGAATACGTGAGATTATTATTACAGCATTGTTGGCAGAGACAACAAGATGATTGAATTACAAACCAGCGGTCTCCAAGGTCGTGTACATATCATGTACGTGTGTTACATGTAAGATTATTCCCCATGCAATACATACAACATATATATAGCACCTCGCAAACCTCGCCAGCGCTGTCAGAGATGGCAAGCTTCCAACTAATCGCAAGGCGCAATCACATCATCGAAAAACATGGGTGGACTGATCGGTATATAATGATGTGTTAATCACGTGACATGCTTATCGATAAAAGTAAATACCTTTTTTTTTAAATAACCAGTAGGTAATTCTAAATTGAAATGATGTCATGAATAAAACGTTAGTGGGATTATTGTGAACCCTGGTGTAATCTCAATTATAATGTACATTACATGCATGCAGATGTCTTATCATTTGCATACATAGTGTTACAATATGAATGCAATAAATTACATAAATGATTAATTAGTTAGCATACTGTCGGGACATGCACTTATACGATCGTTTTCCAATTTTTTTAAAGGGTGGTGGTCGTCGCGCCGCATCCTGTTCGATATGGGACTTATAGCGACGTATACGCGTTCAAAATACAGCCACAGTTTGTTAATACATGAAATTCGAACACTCGCCATTTAAGGTTATGAAAAATAATGTCGAACCGTATTTGTTGACTTGTATTTTGTCAACTAACTGTTTTGATCCAATGAACTTAACATTTCCACGACTGGAGAAGTTTCAATTCAAATCTTTCCAAGGGAATGTTGACTGTGTCTGACCCATCTCAGAGAATGTTCAGTTCTACCCTTGAGTTCGATAGGATGACGTCAATAATACAAATGTAACATAATTGTAATATGACAAATTGACATTTTTTAATCGGATTGAACATAGATTCGATTGAATTTTCCTGATTTTATTTTTTATTTCAGTTTTCCACAAATGTAACTTGCCGTCTATCACATACTAAAATTGGTTTAGTATTCGGTTTATCATCTCTAAACATTTTCTTCGGCTTTATTAATGTGCCTTAATCTCAAGGTTCAAGCTGAGACCATTCATTACATAATCTAGTGCAGGTAGTTTTATTTATTACCTTACAGTAATATAGTACATGTGCTTTCAATTAATTTGAACGTACATATTATGATAAACGTGACCCTTGACCCGTCCCCTGTATCATTTCCACTTTTTTGGTTTAATTATAAACTGATCCAGTGTCTTTATTTTCCAAATTGGTCGAATAAACATTGGAACCGTACACTCTAAGCAATAACTTCAGCTACAGATTTGGCACTTAGGTGTCTAATGGAGTAATGTGACGATCTATTTTGCCTTGATGTTAACTATGCAGAATGCTGAAGTAGAAGGCAGAATAATTCAAAGATATCCCGCCTAATAGATAAATTTACTGTCAGAGAGAAGAACAAATAAGGAAGAAAGGAAATTGTAGCTAACAACAATAACTAACAGCACATGTACTGTGCGATGTTACTTAGCATAATTTATAATTATGTCGCCTTGTAAGAATAAAATAATCACCATAATATACTGAGCTCTACAGTGACTAAAAACATTAAGTATTGTAACTCTATCTTGGCAATTTTCTAGATTCTGAATAAACAGAAAGTTGCCCCAAAAGCGATTAACACCAACTAGCCTAATTTATGCAAAGGCTGATAACTTCAAAGAAAATGTCCCTGGTTTATTTCCTTCATAAGGTATAAACAGAGTATCGCTCGATATATTGAAATTGGCGATAAAACAAACGATTGGCAAATAAACCACTTGTACAAAACAACTTACATGTACACCACAATATGTGGTCAAATAAATGGGTGAATGATATAGACCATATGGCATACAGCCTCTAAGTGATCTCGGGTGTTTCATTTATCCTCTGCAGGTATTTACTTTAGGTAATTTCAATATAGTCATGATTGTATTTGTAAGACCACATCTGGAATGTATGATTAATGAACCAACTATGTTTTGATAACAAACAATCACAATCTTGGCTCGCTCTGATCACTGCTGGGGATTATTCGTATGTAAAATCTCCTCGGATAGACTTCTAAATATATTAATTGTCTATGAGGTCATTTTCTAACCAATCACAGTTTTATATCACAAAGCTATCGTCACTATCAGAACATAACTATTGTTATGGCATTTTTCTAGTAATCAACAATGAGCCGGCAATAAACACAGTTTATCCCGGGAATGTGGACTATGTCTCAGTAGAATTAGAAATATCAATATACGCAAACCATATCTTTATTCATACTCAAGAACATAAACTAAACGACTAGGAAACAATTTTTGATGGTATTTTTCTATTAATCAACAATAAGTCGGCAATGTTTACAGTTTATCCCGGGAATGTAGACTATGTCTCAATAAAATTAGAAGCAACAACAAACGCAAGCGATATCTTTATCCATGCTCAAGAACGTAAATCACACCGCCAAAAATCAAGTTACACCGCCACAATTGACAAAATATCACATAAACAAAACAAACGATGTACACCATAATACATGGTAGATCAGGGCAGCGAAGCATGTGCAAACACAATACGTTGGTCTATCTATCTTACTTGCATAATTATCATGCATATGCAAGGTTGTTTTATACTTTATACTTATATGTTATTCTAGATAATAACTATTGTGAGATATTGGCTTCCTTATCTAAGGTCAACTTCGAGTATTATTTCTGAGAAGGATTCTTGTTGTTGTACATATGTGTATTGATGGGAATTCTAATAAAAGATATCAAACAGGGTTTCAAATTCGTGATGTTAAAAACGTGATTAACTGCGTCGTATTTTCAAGTGATTTATAACGTAAAGTACGTCTCGTCTTAGGCCCAGCATAGTAGATGCATATTAATTGTGGTATGTAGTTCCATGCACAAAGAACAATTGCAGCTGCATAGAAAAATATTCATGTGTTTCTTAGACACATCTAATACAAGATATATATTTATTTTTTTGGAATGACATCATACAATTTGTGTGCTATAATAAAGTGTGGTCAAGGGGATATTGAGATTGGTAGTTAATCTACATTAAATTCGTTCATCGGTGTTGGTGTGTTCACGAAAACACGAGGTATATTACTTTGTGCTTTGTTGTTTTGAACATCAGTAATGCGTGGAATCCGTCACAGCTGTCCACGATGCACAAATATCAACGTATATAAAGTGACTTTACAGATGTTGGCAATCGAATCTACTCCCAGTGAGATACTCTCCGTACTAGGGCTGTCACTGATTACATTTTGTATCCTGATTTGCGAAAACTTGGGGACTCCTCAGTAATTCTATTTCCGTTTTGCTAATTTTTTTTAATCAGTTGTATATTGTGTTGAAATATTCTTTTTGAGGGTCTTCCACGATGTATTAGGGAGTAATACTACGGTCAGTATCCGTTCTAAATATCATGAATACATAACAATGGAAACTTTTCTGTTTTAACATCCTCTTTTGGTGAAAATGTAGAATTTGTCTCTTCATTTTTTTTTCAAAATTTACACCCAAAACACCCGTATTTCATACAACATTTAAAAGCTAGAACATGAGTCTTATTCATACATTGTGGGACTGACTCTCCCTGGGAATTGAACACACAATATCCAATATACGATTTGCTGGTTTAAAGTACGCGTGATGAGTTGTTCTAGAATATCATTAGATTACAGGCTCGGTCGCTGTTCGTTCACGACTCATATTAACGTCAGCAGCTGAAGCATATCTACATTTGTAGATACCGACTGTACGTATTTCAGGAATTCGCGCTTTTATGTCGAACTTTAACCTGCAAGAAATAGTGTTGTAGCACCAAATGAATACATAAATTGACCTTATTAAATAAAACAGCTGCAAACGAGGACGAAAAATGACGAATAATTTATGACGTACTAAAACTAGATTAACAAGTGATACAAAAAACAGCAAAACAGTTTATTTTAACGTATTGATTGATTAGATATTCTACTTTCCAATTGTGAGTTGAGAACATTGAGATATCGCGCGATGAAATTAACCATTTCATTTTTGAGCAGTCAGGTGTTCATAAGACTCAACATTTGAATACACTTAACAATCACTGAACTTGTACTGACCCTGGAACATCACTTGACGGGCCATTTATTGCAGTGTAATAGAGCAAAACGACAACGATTAACATTTTAGATATACACTGAATGATTACTCCACTCGACTATAACGAGTTTATTTAGTTTCAGTCTCATGTTTCGGTACGAGCACGTAATCCTACATTGTTAAGCTGGTAAAATGTGCCAGTTTATCTAAAACCAAAAGACAGTATAAAACGTACATTGTAATTTATTAATGATATTGAATGTTATGTAGTTGCCCATATGAGGCGAGGTTACCTTGTGTCGAACAGGTTGTGTCATTCCGGATTAATGTCTACACTTTTCATTAATATCAAGTCGGCTAATTGACATTCAACTATTTCAAATATAATTGCACAAGAACACAGATGGTGAAAACAGATTTCCGGCCATCATGATTTGCCATTATATATTTTTAGACTGCAACTGCTGGTAAATTTCAGTTACTTGCAACAATCAAATATAAATTAGGCAACTGGATCAAAACATTCTTTGATAATCGATGCACCAATATCATTAATTGAAGGTATAAGAGACTGGTGAAATGTAACTGCTATACACGCTGACGGCAATCGGAAGTGATCGGAATATTACCTGCGATGCACTTTCCTTTTACAGAGGATTTGAAGAATGCTCTGCGCGTGCGTATATGTTTTACCTTGCCCTCAATGATAAATGATGTTCGCAAGGTATGCCGGTTTTCATCATAGACGTTTTCTCTTATCTACATGACTCAGTAGTTTTTAATGTCCAATATCTCTCAAACGTGCTTATAATATCAATCAATAAACAATCTCGACCAAGTTTTAGCGAGACTCACACATATGTCTGTTGCATAAAAATGCTCATTTAACATTATCAGGTTGTATTGCACTGATATAGATATTTTCGACTTCCGGTTTAAATACTTCCAGTGAATATGATGAAGTGTTTTTTCCCTAAAAGTCACATATAATTCTTAGCATGAGTGAAATCAGATTAGAATATTTTTGATTTCTTGAATTGTGTTCAATAAAATGTCGGACGGTTTAAAAGTCAATATTTTTTGCGATGTGACATTCATGTTTTTCATATTGGTGATTTCGACGGCCATCTTTGATTTCTCCCGAAATAGTACCAACGTGGTCTGTTCTTTGAGCTGGTGCAGAAAGTTCACTTCTAATGACCTCACGAAAATACATTGAATTACTTGTCAATAACTAGGGATTATATTACTGTCCTTGTAACGTATGTACATTTATATTACCTATCTTCATCTGGGTTATGTTGATTCAAAACAAGCATGGGTGTATTTTGTACTAACAATAACATCACATGTATGGTAACTTTCAAATATTCGTACTTGTCTCAATACCTTCCATTCTCGAAGTATAATA